CTCATGGTTTTAGTAAAAGAAAATTGGAAGAAAAAACAGATGCTGAAGTGGATGTGAATTATGTCTTTTCTGTTCTTGAAGAATATGGGACAAGGATTATGCGGCGCCATTTCTGCATGGAAACTCTGAAAAAAGTACGTTTTCTGCATATAAAAATAGATCCCTTCAACTTGAAAGCTCTATATATAATAACTCTAACTAAAAATGAATTTTTGAATCAAATGCGGTGAATGAACTTGAAAGCTCTACAAATGATGATGCCATTGAATCTTTCTTTTAATTGCTAACCCTTTTTTCCACCACTTGTTTTCTATGTTGAGATGTTTGCTGCTAGGGTTTATTACAAGAATAATATCTTTCTCACTGTCATTCATTTACACAAAGGAAAAACGTACATATTTTCCTATACAAGAAGTCTATAGAATTAGAACAAAAGAATACAAGGAAGAATAAGCCTTGGCTCATCATGTCCCTTCCACGTAGGTACTGTGTGAGCTGGCTACTTGCTAGATCGGGTGCAAGTTTGTTGAGTGCCTTGAGTATTTTTTTTTCTTCTCTTTCTGACCTTTGGATGATTTGATTGTTTTGTTTCTTAACATACCCTCTCAAGCGGAGTTGTGGTGAGACAATGATAAGCTTGGAACTCAAGTGTTGAAATTGGGCTTTAGGTAAGCCCTCTTGGTGGAGATGTCAGCAATTTGATAAGGTGAGGAAACATGGCTGATGGAAATGGAGTTACTGGTGACAAGTTGTCGGATACAATGGTAGTCAATTTCAACGTGTTTGGTGCGGGCATTGAATATGGGATTAGCTGAGAGACGGGGAGGTTTGTCAAGGAAGAAATGTAAATCTTTGATAAAAGAGCATAGCCATGTAATCTCGGCAGTAGTATGTGATTAGGCACAATATTCACTCTCCAAGGAACAAAGATGTCAGCAATTTATTGTTAGTTTATTTGGGTTTTAGTTGGTGTTTGTTTGTATGGTTGAGCCTATAGCAAACGATATATTTGAAGACAATGGTATTATGGGAAGAAAAAAAAAACACTCAGAATGCTGAGATGGATAAAGATCAATCTTGAATATCTTATAAGGAATTAATCAAATTGAAACTTAGACGATGATTAGAATCTGATTTCTGATATACATATATAGGTAAAGGAGCTTCAACATATGAACGATCGTGAATTGGGAATGATCTGCGACCATCTCAAGCCGAAGGTGTTCGAGCAGAATGCCAAGGTTGTTGAAGTGGGAGAGCCACTGAACGCGATGCTCTATATTATAGCAGGCTCTATGCAGGCGGACCTGTCAATTACCGATGCTGGAGAAACAGCTCCATCAACCTCATTCGATACTCTTGAGAAAGGTATGTTTTTATTTATTTATTTATTTTGCCAAACGGTAGTCTGCATTTCATTCATTTGAAACTCTTGAAAAAGGTATGTTTGTTGGAGAACAACTTCTGTATTGGGCAATGAAAACCAAAGCTTTTGATGACCAACCTGCTTCGTTCAAAACTATCCGGTGTACCACAAAAGTAGAAGCCTTTGCTCTCACAGTTGATGACTTGAAAACTTTAGCGCTCTCCGGAGACATCTTCCCGATGAAGTCAAAAGGTGAAGTTTAGACAATCCTTACCTTTTGAAACTTGAAATATTTGGCACTTCTTCTTTTCTTTTTTCTTTGTTTGATCATGTAGTTCGCACTTATTTGAAACAGCTGGCATTCTCAAAATTGTTGCTGACCCGAAGATACGTGAGAAAGTGGAGGCAATATTTTTGTGGATGGCAATAAATAACATTTCTGATGATGTGGCGATAGATATTATGCATGGTTTTAGTCAAAATAAATTGAAAGAAAACATAGATGCTGAAGTGGATGTGAATTATGTCTTCTCTGTTCTTGATGAATGTGGGAGAAGCATTATGCGGCGCCATTTCTGCATGGAGACGCTGAAAAAAGTAGGTTCCTCTCTCTCTCTCTCTCTCTCTCTCTCTCTTTTTGTCCGAAGCATGTTCATGAATCTCTATATAGAAATTATTAGGGTCATATAAAATAGATCCTTGCAACTTGAAAGCTCTATTTAGTAACTCATTTACATTATAAATTCTAATCGTTATATTTACAAATGAAGCCACGGAATCTTTCCTTTAATTTCCTTTTTTTTTCACAACGTGTTTTCTGCATTCAGATGTTTGCTACAATATCTCTCTCCCTATCGTTCCTTTACACAAAGGAAAAACGTATATATATGTCATATACAAGAAGTCTCTAGAATTAGAACAAAAGAATACAACTTGATTTGTGAAATTTTGAAATCTTTAAAAGTGTTAGATTTACAATGTAATGCATATAGCCAATAGAATCTGGGCCAGTCATCAACAAAAATCACATAGTACTTGTGGCCACAATGAGAAACATGAGGGGCAGTGGCTTGCTTTTGGACAGATGAATGGGATAGAGACTGCCTTTAGTAGCGCCTTGAAATAGGATTTTCCTTGTAGTATATTATCCTTGATGATACCTGAGAAAGGAGTGCAAGTTAGATAACAATTGTTGTCATTGGAAAATTTGTGAACTGAGAGTAGGTTGTGTGTGGCTTGTGGAGGAATTTGATTTAAATGAAAAGATGAGTGATAAGTGTACAGTGTTGGCAACATTAACTTTGTTAGATCCAGTGTATTCAGGATGCAGGGAAAATTTGCGCAAGCCATTTGTAAGGTTATTAGTGGCTCAAGAATAAGCATTCCAAGTTGTTGTGGATGAAGATAAGGGTGTGGTGGAAGTGTAGGTACAGGGTAAAGTGGGAGCTGAGGGGAGGGGGTGAAGAAGGGACGGTTGGGAGAGAAGGGTTGTAGAAGCAAGATGAAGGTCTAGGGTTTCAAGAGGAAGATAAAGAATGTTGGTAGATAAGATTTGATGGAGGACGTGAGTTGAAGGATGACCTTGCCATTTGTGCCAAAGAGAGGTTGTGGCAATGGCGTTGAAGTAAAAAAAAAGGTGGCTTGCGTTTGGATAGATGAATGGGTTAGTGACTGCCTTCGGTAACGCCTTGAAAAAGGATATTTCCCCTACTATGATCCTTGATGACACATGAGAAATGAGTGCAAGTTAGATCAAAATTGTCATACGTCATTGGAAAATTTGTGAACTGAGAGCAAGTTGTGTGTTGTCGAGTGTGAATAAATTTTTTTTAAGTTAAAAGATGAGTGAGAAGAGTATAATATAGTGCTGATTCACCATTGGCAACATTAACTTTGTCAGGTCCAGTGTATTAAGAGAAAAGTTGCTCATGTCATTTGTAAAGAGATTAGTGGCCCGAGAATCAGAATACCAAGTTGTGTGGATGAAGATCAGGGTGTGGTGGAAGTATATGTGGTAGAGGGGTAAGTAGGAGCTTAGGGGGAGGGAGTGAAGATTTTGGGTTGTAAAGTGTGATCCAAGTAAGAGCTATTGAGACGGTTTCTGCAAGGGAGAGCACCATGGCCTGGCTTTTTACAGATTTGGCCAATCGGGCAAGAGTTGGAAAAAGTGTTTGGCCGGAAGAAGTGACTGTTGGGAGAGAGGGTTTGTAGAAGAGAGCTTGGTTAGGATTTGGAGAGGGAGAGGTTTGAAAGGCATGGTTGGTAGGCTCATTGAAGAAGCGAGTGAGGAGCGAGTGAGGAAACATATTATGCAGCAGGAGGAAAAGAAGGTTGATGGATAACGTCAGAAGAAGAGGACTTGTAAAAGTCTGCGAAAGGGTTGGTGTCGTGAGAATTGTCCATAGGCACAAAAAACGAAAGAAAGAGTTTAGGATAGAGAAATAGTGATTGAAAGTTAATGGAAGAGTTAAGGGGCTTCATGTTGATGAAACACCGGTTCCCTCTGGTCACAGGGAACCCGATGGAAGAAATGAAGATAAACAAACCAACAAGCCCAAGATGACAATGAGTAATATATGAGAGAACACGCCGATAATTGATGAGGCTCGATAGATAACCTGCCTACGTCCCCGGAGAGTCACCACCTCCACTATAACATGAGAAAGATACAAGTACAAGAATAACCACTCAAGAGTTTTATACCCAAACCCGAGTCCCGTATCCAATAGGATACACCACTTGTACACCCTCTCTCATACATGTGAAAATCACTCTCACCCCAAGAGATATACCCTCTGTTGAACCCTTTATGAACCCAGCTAACTCCCTGCTGAAACATCCTCCAGGAGTTCGTGGGAATGCTTGCTTGCATCTCACAAGCAGTCCACTCCCTCTCTGCCATGCTCTCTCTCCCTTGCCTTGGTGCAGCTGAAGCACAGCAGCCCACGCACCCCTTGCATGCTTTGGTGCGGCTCACATGCACACCAGCCCACAACTCACTCATGCCTTTGGTGCAACACAAGCACACTCCCACTTGCATGCACCCTCCCCTTTTACAAACCATAAAAGGAAGGCTGATTTTCACCTCCCAAAAACAGCCCACGTACATGCTAGAAGAGCCACAATGATGGCCAGTCAAAAGGCTCCCCAAGACAGCATCATTAAAGACAAATGATGATGTCTTCCTTCCCATAATTGCAACAAACACCATCATGACATGCAAAAATATTCCTCCACTAAGGAGGGAACCCAAGCCACCGAAAGCATGTGCAACTCCCTTATTTTTCTCTTCCTTTCAGCCATCAATTGTAGACCATGCATGCATCTCCCATACTTGCATTCATGTGCTTTGAAAGAGGAAAAATAACAGCCGTACATCTCGACTCCACTAAGGAGGGAACCATAACACTTCAACTCAAAAACTCTAATAATAACCCATCTATATTACCTATTCTTAGTAAAATTCAATTTTTGAATCAAATGCCATGAAGATTGTTTTGATTAAGATATAAATGATGCCACAGAATCTCCTCTTTAATTGGTTACTCTTTTTTCACAACCATCCAGGTTTTTAAGCAATGCAATAATATTACCTCGATAGACATTTTTATTTCTACTTCTATAATAATTTGATTATAGCAAACGAAATATTTTATGACGATGGATTCATGAGAAGGCAAAAAAAATCAATAAAAACACTCAGTTGGAACATACATGCTGAGATGGATCATGTATATATATCCAATAGATAGAGATCAATGTTTAACCTTTCGAAGAATGTAATCCAAATTGAAGCTTATACGAGGATTAGAATCTAATTTTCTGATATGTATGTATATATAGGTAAAGGAGCTTCAATCTATGAATGATCAAGCGTTGGGAACGATTTGCGACTATCTCAAGCCAAAGATGTTCAAGGAGAATGCCCAGGTCGTTGAAGCGGGACAACCACTTAACGCGATGCTCTATATTATAGCAGGCTCTATGCAGGCTTACCTGCCAATTAGGGCTGCTGGAGAGGCATGTACCTCAACCTCATTCGAAATTCTTGAGAAAGGTATGCTTGTGGTGGGAGAACAACTTCTGGATTGGGCAGCGAAAACCAAAACTTTTTATGACCAGCCTGTTTCGTTCAAAACTGTCCGATGTGCCGAAAAAGTAGAAGCCTTTGCTCTCACAATTAATGACTTGAAAACTTTAGTGGTCTCCAAAGACATCTTCCAGAGGAGTTCAAAATCCGAAGTTTAGACAACTCTTAGCCGTTGAAACTTCATGTAGTTGGCACTTCCTGCAACAAGATTGATGAGATACTAAACAATTTTTAAGAAAAAACTAACCATGAAGGTCAGGAGGAGGTTGGTTTGTTTATTTTTTTTATCGTGGATGAATATTCTATTTTTTTTTTCATTTTATGAATTAATTAATACGTTCATTTTCATTTTGGGGTTTCCTTTTTTGAGAAATAAATTATGTGTGAAACCGAAAAATGAGGGCAAAAGCCCAAAGATATACCGAACCACAATGTGGATATCATACATTTCTTGTGTAATTTGATAAATTAATTGCATGTGTGGTGCCTCAGACAAGCCGAGCCGTTTAATTAATGAACTCACTTCGGTCACCAATGAGTCGTGTCTTCTGTTTCCTATAGTTGGACGTGAAAATTAGCAAAGAAAGCACAGTGGTGGTGGATTCCCCCTCCCCTCCATGGCACCTACGATCAAACCCCAATAGGGTTTCTCTTCTCCAATGTAACCCAAAAAAAAATAAATAACAGAGCAACCCTTCTCAAATGCGTGAAGAATTACTCTACCCAAACTAGTAATCATCAGCTCTAACAACCAAATGAATCACATCCCTTTGATGCCTCACTTGATACTCACTCTTGAAAGTTGGAAAAGAATACTAATTATTGAGTAACCTAGAACTCATAAAAAGTAAAAGCAATATAAAACAGTTGATTTGTTATAAAATGAACGGGATATGTTAGAATATTGAGCTGCATATAAAGTAAATAAGACACAATATTTAACGAGGTTCGACCTTGCCTACTTTCTCGAAGAGCAGCAGTAGTAACTTTTCCACTATGTAAAATAATAGGGCTACAACTTTAGTGTTTATAATATATGTGGCTCACTGATTTCTCTATGCTATCTTTTTCTCTCCACTCACTCACTTTCTTTCTTCCTTCTCTTCTTTCTCTTTGGGCTCTCTTTTCCTTCTCTGATAGTTGGTGTATCTATGCAAAGGCGGAATAATGCCTTATTTATAGGCTGAGGAAATGATGCCCGTGAGTGTGCATGTGATAAGCCTCCAAACAACTTTGCTTAATTTCTTTGTGGGCCCCATCAGTGGCGGATCTATGAATTTTTCAGGGAAGGGGCAATGTTAAAAGGCTAAAACATCCGAAAAAATAATAATAATAACCAAATAGCCTTACAATTTAAACAACACTAATATTATCCATAATTAAAATAAATAAGACTTTTACGTCTAAGCCTAATTGACTATAATCTATTTTCTATATAAATTAAATGCACAAAATTCATGTTACACAATTATTTACCAAAATTAATATCAAATATGAACAAAATGCATGTCAATTACACAATTAGTCTATCAAAATTCATATGAAATCATCCATTAATCTAACCAAAATCAATACCAATTAATCTAACTCAAAGTACATGTGATTTGGAGGTCACAAGATAAAAGTATATGTGATTATGAGTTTGGGGTATTTTTCGGTGAATTTTTTGGAGAACATATGAATTTTTAATGAATTTCTAAATTTGGTCTAATTAAAATTTGACACATTGCGCCCTGATAGTGGACCACATTAAAAAGGAATGCAAGTTGAGAAGCACAGGATTCTAACTACAAACACAAGTCATCTTCTTCTTCGGCTGGTTGTGTCTGCAACTTAAGTGAAATTTTTTCAAAATCTTCTAAAATCTATAACTTTGGTTGTGGAGGTCTTGTGGAGGTCCAATTGAACCGTTTTCTCCTACGTGATCGTGAGATCGAGCTCAACAATCTAAGGTAAATATTCAGGGTCTCACACAGCAGCAACAAAACAGCATCTTTGAGGCTTTTAATCGAACACTTGGAGGGCACAAGCAAATGGGCAAATTCCTGCATCTCCAACGCATTTTCCTGCGAGAGGAGGTGCACCTGCACCTCCTTGCGCCTCTGTGGCTCCGCCCCTGGGCCCCATAAAGGTGGGCTCCACATGTTTATTCTTTACAACATGATTATGAATAAAAATACTGCGACCGTGCCCGATTCTGAGCTTCATGTACAATCGGATTCGCTATGGACCGCCATCAAGAAATATTTTGTCTTATCCAAGGTTGGCTGCCAAGGGATTAGCTTTGAGGATCTTCATAGTTGAATTTCTCGCTATCCTTCCCGTCCCACAGGTAACAAACACTATACCTTTTGTCCTATATATGCACACAACTAGATTTTTTTATTACCCATATTATAATTCGTGCAGGTGGCAGTTGCAGTTCTCTTTTTCAAAGTGAAAGGTTCCGGATACTTTTATGAAGGATCGATTATCAATCTCGTTCTTTTCTTTCAATATTTGCTCACGATTTTCCGAATCTATCTGCACGCATCCTCTATTAAGAAAATTTGGATTAAAGGTGTTCTAAATTTTTACCTATACATCTTTACTAGTCACATAAGTTTCATCAAATTGGAAATATGTTGCTGTCTATTTATTTGGTAATAATTATATATAAACCCGTATTATTTGAGGGATCCGTTAATTGAAGCCCACTATAAAACACACTTATCCAAAATAAGACATCGAATGAAATTATATAAGCATCACATAAGCTTTATTTTTCACATTTTCATGATAATTTACTTTTGTTACTTGGTTTCTTCTTACAACGATGTATCCTTATGGAATTTTCTCGAATAATTAGTAACTTCTTGGTGTTTTTAGATGCTTGGAGCTATTTGGTACTTTCTTTCTATTTAATGAGAGACGACATGTTGGCATGAGGCTTGCAAAAGTACTGAAGGATGCAAAGCTATTCATTATTGCGATGAGATTGACACTAGTCATTCAACAAATAATATCACATTCCTAAATGAAAAATGTCCTATAAATCCAGCAAATGCAAAGCAGTTTGACTTTGGAATATTTCTTGAAGCTCTTAAATCTGGTAACACAGGCCAAATAAATTTCTCAACAAAATTCTTTTACACTTTGTGGAGGGGCTTCAGAAATATGAGGTTTGCATTACAATAGATTAAAAATTAGATGGGGGCCCAGGGCCATGGCAGGTCTGGCTATGGCTCCGCCCCTGTTTGCATACATATTTTGAACAAAAAGTTAAGATTGTCTTCCTTCGATTTTCTTACTGTAACTAAGCATTACATTAACTTCTTCTGCCCTTCTTATCAGTATCTCATATATTAATTACTCGATCATCAATTGATTTGTAGTAATTATGGCACGGATCTTAAAAACGAGCAATTACTTGTGGGAAAACTGCTTTGCAATTCTTATTTCTGCTATTGGCTTACTACTATTTTCATATCTCATTGGAAACGTTCATGTACGTTCGCGATGTTATATCTCTACATATAACTTGTTAATCATAAACTGAAATTTTTTCTTTTTTCATTGGGATCGAAACAGACATGTATGCAGCAGTTGACAACTACAAATCCTTTGGAGGTTGAGAAGGGGAAAGAGGGCGAGATACGATGCTGGATGTCCAGAAATTGTCTGCTTGAGTATATGAAGATAAAAATGATGCCAAACATAAATCAAAACTTGCGAGACAACATGTCCGCTGATGCAAAACTTGCGAGTCAACATGTCAGCATGAATACGCTAAAGAAAGTATGCTACTCAAACCTCTCAATATATCGAGATTTCTGGCCGTTACTATTAGAATTTTAGAGAGACGGACAACAATCCACAGTTACCAACACCAATATCTGCATATGATGAATCTTGTTCTTATCGATCAATAATCTACATGTGTAGGTAATGCTTCAATATATGGATCCTAAAGTGCTGGAAATGATGTGCGGGTATCTCAAGCCCAGTGACTTATGAGCAACTTCATTTTATGCTCATCATCACAGAAGGCATTATATGGACGTGGACGCCTACTAGTACTACCTGTAGTTCTAGTAAAACAAATGCGGATCCCGGTGGAATTTCAAAAATTCTAACATTAATTCTCGTCATGATCGGTGGAGGAGACGAGTCCATCATGCGAGCTTAAATAGAAGAAATCTAGGGTGTTTTCGCGTAGTCTTATCATTTCATCTATGTTATAACATGTGTATGTATTTATTAATACTATTTTAGATCCATGACATATTAACCATGCCGTCCATCTATATTATTGCACATAAATTAATAATCCCAGGAGAACTTATATAAATTTTCTTAGAATATGATATTTAAAGCCAATGGAGCAAATTAAAATGAAGAGGATTGGTTTCATAAAGGACTGCTTAACTAAATTAATAACCCCTGGAGATATATATGTTTTCTTTACACTTGACTTTTTGTTTCCCAAAAGTTTCTTTGGGCCAGAATTTACACGGGCTCACTAAATTCCCCTCCTCATCATTCCCACGGCATGGAAAAAGAAAAGCTTCCATTCAAATACCAATGTTTTATTGTGATTTAATCCTAGTCACCAAACACGACCTTATTATTTTTGTCATTTTCTATTTGAATATAAAAAGTAGAGGAAAGGAAGAAGCCATTTGGTAAAACAACAAATCAAACTGACAGCAAAAAGGGTTTCCTTCATTATTGAGGGATCATCAAGAACAGGATGGGGATTTTTTATTTTTTATTTTTTATTTTTGGGGGTAAATACGAAGAGGTATATCCCCAATCCGAAGTTTGGGATTAGTCACTGCTAGGGGTTCGGCTTGTTCCTGGCCACAAAGTGTTTCCAACTGGATTTGAACCTCTGCTATTGAAGCACTAGGCAGTTCGCCAACTGGAGAAGGCAGTTTGTCAACCACACCACACCTTGTTGTTATAAAATGAGGATATTTGTTCCCTAAAGCCCCTTATTTCTTTTAAAATTTATAACTTTATCTGAGAACAAGTAAATGATAAAATAATGGAAAAGCAAACTATTTCCTTCTTCGGTTTCTGAGTATTCCAAAGATAAAATAAGATGGAAAGTAAAAGATCATTCCATTCCAAAATAAAAAGGAATACAATTCTCATTCCCCTTTTAACATTCCTGTCAAATAAATAGACTGCTAGTTCACTCATTTGCCAGAGATTATCAAAGTATATTATTATTATATTATTATTATCATTATTATTATTATTATTATTGTTTGACACCATTTTCTTGGTGTGCTAGCTGCCCTCCAGCTGATTAATTTGAGTTTGTATAAATCTTTAGTTGTTTAATTATTGTATTTGTTCGAGCTCAAGCTGCCTAGCTAATATCCACATATATTTACGTTACGCCAGAAGTGGAATGATTGAGAAGCCACGAATATGTTTCCTGCCCTTGTATTATATCTCTCATCACAAGAGTATATGATATGCTAGTTTCGTGTAACATGTTTCCCCAAAGTTCACAGTGATTAGTCTTAAACTAAAAGCCTTGTAGGGGCAACTCTTGCAACCTCAAGGCTCAAGCTTTATTCGTGTCACATCATCTTTTCTTCTTTTTCTTTTCGGAAACAAGAGTACGTTTGTTCTTTTCTTCTGGTTTGGGGAATTGTTTATTCAATTTTCAGGGTTTATTACAATAACTTTTCGTACATATGATATGAGAGGAGGCTCCAGAACATGAAACCCAAAGCCGAATGACATGCTTATACCCTCAAATATTATCAGCCACAGTAGTCTGGTCTTTTTACTTATGTATAAATAACTTTTCTATTGTTTTTTAATTAACTACTTGTACATCCCAAGGCAAATTAGTAGTGTGTGTGAGAAATCTCCCTCTTCTTTGTAGTTTAGATTATCGCTTGTCGTTTAGCGTCTCCTACAAAGATTGTTCATTCATTTAAAAAAAAAAATAACTAAACTTAAATGAAATTGGTGTGTATACAATCAAATCTTATGAATTAGTGAGCATATTTTGTGAGTGCAAAAATGAGATGTAATCTCAATCATATAAGTCCACCATGTCATTAAGTTTTATCAAATTATTTTGCCGAATTAGTATATTACTGGTTAAATAAGCATGTCTCAAAGTTTCGTTAAAAATTTACATATTTGTATAACAATTTTTTTATTCAATCTTCACTTTCCATAAAAATTTATGTATTTTGAGACCCCGATATTTCAGAAGTGATCGAAGTTTAACACCTTGCTTACAATATCCAAAAGGAATTAACAGCTCAATTACAATAGTAGCTTCATTTACTTTTTATTTTTAATAGGTATTAGCTGACTAGAGTCAACTGTCCAGCTCATCAAGTTTTGTTATTGTCCTGTATAAAAGGCAGTTGTGCCTTCATTCAATGCATATACAGACAAATAGAAATCAGTTTTTCTCTCCAGAGTTTTTTCGTTTGGTCTTCTTCGATTCACACACATCCTCTGTTTCCATGGAAAGGTTACGTTCTTACAATAACTGGTGGGAGATGGAAGACGGAGAGTATACCCGTCCTCCCAGGTAAGTCGTCATTTGTTTTTCTAATGCATATATATATTACAGCTTTATTCACAGAATGCGTAGGCTGTAGCACTACGCGCGTTTGGTTCGCATAACGGGTTCTTTCAAAATGAAATTTTCCTGCCTATCGCAAGCGCATGAAAATGAAAAGGTTTTAGGGCTTTCCACAGAAATGTCCATTTTAACATGACATGTTATATATATATATAGGGTCTATTTGGAAAGAAAAATTTAAAATTGCCACTTGTCATTATTTGATTGGTTCTTATAAATTTTTAACACATAACTAACTAGAAATTGACAAGTGACAGTTTGTATAATATGTCATGCTAAAATGGATTTTTGAATAAATATCTCAAACTTTAATTCTACTGTTTGAAAATTCTTGAAAAGAAAGCGACGAAATACCTTTTTTTTTTTCTTTTCTATTTTCTCGTTTAGTTTATGCAGTAATAAATAAGAATCAAAATTTGTTGCATTACGTAATTAAAAGTAGCATTTTAAGCTTACAACCAAGATCATTTGGACATGTTAGATGTGTTCTCTAGTCATTTCAATAAAACTCTCAAGATGACCAAGGTATATGTACGAATTCTTCCATTCATGGGTTTGTATATGTATGTGCCTTTGTTTTCGTTGCTGGTCTTTAGAGCAACTCCACCCATTTGCCCTTAGCCATGACAAAGGGGGAGCTAGGGCAGCCACTATTCACTTGAATAGTGGTTGCCCTTGCAAATAGTATTTTGTGTTTCCACCCGTTGCCATGGCTAAGGGCAGTTACTAAACCCTGAATTGGTTTAACTGTGTGGGAAATCTGCCCAACAGGACAAGCCCGGTCAAGTTTTCCTCTTTAATTTTCAAATTTTGGCAGTAAATTTGAAATTTGAAAAATATATAAAATCAAAATTTTGAATTTCTTACCATATTTATTTCAAAGGACAAATGGGCACAAAAAGTGAGATCTAAATACTAATGGGTCTAGATCAGGAAAAAGAAGACATGGGTCAAAAATCTAATAGAAGCCAAACCTTTTGGGCTTGGATTTAAAGACCCCTAAAAAAATCTCAAGCTACCCTCTTATCCATATTATATTATAAATAAATAATAAAAAAACCCGAAGTATTAAACCGGATCCTAAGTTTTAATTGTATTTGATTTGTTGGATTTGATTGAACTATCGAATGAGATCACCATTACATCAAGAATTATTGTTTTGAAATATGTTATTTTGTATTTGTCTTTTATTTCCTGACTAGTTCAGGTTGGTTTATACGAAAACCAAAATGGCTAATCATAAATAAGTAGGAAAACCACTTACAATGCAATTGTTTATATTTCAGGACTATCGCTGAGATTATTAGTCATGTTCTCGCACGTGTGGCCTATATCGTGCGGTTAGTATATGCATATAACTTTTGGTCGAAAGGTTTATTGGTTCTTATTATTCATTATTGTTCTCTTATATATGTTAAACTCTTAATTTATGCCTCTATTGAAGAAAGTAAATACAAGAAATCAAAAGGACAAACTAATTTGCAGTTGTTTATATTTCAGGACTCTCGTTGTTTTTATTCTGGACCTGCCCAGGATCATGAGGTCAGTATATGTATATATATAACCTTTTGGGCTTTTAGGTGACCATCCTTATAGTGTAGCTAGATACTAGTCAGATTTATTTCGAGCTCGCTAGTCTCTTTTTATGGTTTATTGGTTCTCATTATTCAATATTGTATCTTCAGTCATGTGGGACAATTTATTTTGTCGAATTAGTCTCTATTGGTTTGATTATAACTCCGAATAATGTTATTGAAAATCGTCCATATATATTGGTTTCTTATCAGCGAGCATTGGTCGTTCGATACAGAAGACCATCCAGATGTGGGTTTTTATGAGGGTTTAGACGGTCATGCATCAAGGAAAAAAGAGACGCTTGGGCGCATGTTCTTTTCTCCATTAACAAGGAAAAGGATATTTTTATTATCATGTGTTGCAGTGTCCATAGATCCTCTCTTCTTTTACATTCCAATCATCAATGACGAGAAAAAGTGCCTTGCAATTGACAAAAACTTGAGGACTGCAGCTCTTTGTTTGCGAGCACTTCTTGATGCCGTTTTCGCACTGCATACTATGAGTTCTGGGTTTAGGTTGTATCCGTATAAGGAGCTCTACTTTGTAGATGTACTTTTGTACAGCTTTCGCAGCATACTAGTTGCCGTTTTCCTTATGCTCCCCATTCCGCAGGTACGTAAGAGATTGTCTACTTTTTGCAAGAATATGGCTTATGGATGAAGACTTGAAAAATAGACAGTCGGTCGTTAAAAAGATCCTGAAAAGTTAACCTTCATCCATAAATTGTCTATTTTTTTGCAAGAATGTCTATTTTTAAGCCTTCATGGTTGAAAAATAAAATAAAATTTACACGATCATTGAAATTTTAGAAGTTCAAATTGCTCTTACAAGATTGCAAAAATAGACAATTCTGGTTGAAATAAATTGAACTTGTATTATTCAATTTATGATATGAAGGTCAACTTGATATACATGTAAGATACTATAGAATAGGAAAATTCCCAACCAAACCAGTATCATAACTTCATTTACCGGAGTAATTTTTGGGTGTTCTAAGTACACCACGTGGTTGGTGTATCATCCAATAGACGTAAGACATGTCATAAAAAAACAATGCAGTAAGTTGAGTAATTTCAAATGTCCTACATCTATTGGATGGTAGGAACATATAAAAGCTCTTACGATGATATGAAAATCTGTTGTATTAAATATCAGTATCGGTTTATGTTTTGGTCAATATTATTATTGTCTTATGCACATATAGTCTTGTTTGTCCAGTTGGCAATATCAGTTTTCTTTTTCAAGTCAGGAGGCTCTGGATATTTCGGCCAAAGACTGACCGTGAGCATCTTCCTTTTTCTCTGTTATGCGGCAAGGCTTGTCCTAATCTACATGCTAAGTCAAGAACTCAAGTACAATACCGGATTATGGGTTCGAGCTTCAGTCAATTTCTTTTTCTACATGGTTGCTAGTAATGTAAGTTTACAAGTTGTAAGTTTCACTAAAAAGAGTATTTGAAACTCCAGCATTGATGGAGTAACAATTATTATAGTAGAGTGCTATAAATAAGTTTTCTGTCATTATATTTAGAGTTAAATTTAACCAAAATTTGATTAACCTTTCCTAACATGATCTAACCTTTTACCTTTTCAGATACTTGGAGGCTTTTGGTACTTCTTTTCTATTCAACGTGAGATATCATGCTGGCAAATGCAATCCTGTAAAAATTCTCTAGGCTGTGGAGCTACTTATTATTGTGGCGACAGTACTTCACGAGACATAACATTCCTAAATGAGTTATGCCCCATAAATCCACAAAATATTACCGTATTTAATTTTGGAATATTTCTTGAAGCTATTCAGTCCGGAAGCACAAGATCGATGCATTTTCCAACCAAGTTCTTTTATGGTGTATGGTGGGGCGTCAGAAATCTAAGGTTTGCATATATGTATATTAAGCTATTGGTAATTCATTAAGAAATAGATCCTCGCTCTTTATAGATAATGAAAAATTAAATTGAGAGAGTGTTATGGATTTAAATTTTCAAATATATCTTACATATTAAATGCTTAATTTATTTCCCCACTCCTATTTTATCCACTTACACTCCGTTTTTAGTTATAAAAAAAGAGTGTAAGTGGATAAAATAGGAGAAAAAGGAGTGGGGATATCACCACTCTTAATTTATTATTGCAGTAACTTTGGCACGAATCTGGAAACAAGTGGCTATGTATGGGAAACCTGCTTTGCAGTTGTAATTTCTATTGCTGGTTTGCTACTATTTTTATGTCTCATTGGAAGCGTGCAGGTACGAATGATAAATCTCTCAGCTCTATAATATAGATAATTTTTTTTTTTTATTGCTTGATTTATGTGTAATTAACGAAACTATTTTTTTTTAATGCATATGTAATTAATTAATATATGATGAACTAAGCTTCCATCATTTTTGTGTTTTGTTGTGGAACAGATATATATGGAGCAGGCAAAAACAAAATCGTTGGAAGCTGAGGAGAAGCTAAAGGAGTTGAACACCAAGATACTTCAATGCAAAAAGATGATACGAAAATGGATATCAGATATAGCAGAAGGTGACAACGCTTTGGAAAAAAATATTTGGCAACAAATAAATGAAAACAAATTAGTAGAACACAGAGATGCTGTTAAAGTGGATGTGAATTATATGTTCTCTATTCTTCATTACTATGGGAGAAACCTTCTCAAGCGCCATTTCTGCATGGAGATCCTAAAAAAAGTACATATACTCCTTTTTCTTTTTTCTTCTTCTTCATCTTTTTCTTTTTTCTGAGTCGAAATTTATGCAAGGATTAGAATCTAATTTTGTGATGTATATATATAGGTAGGCGGTCTTAGAGATATGGGGGAAGAAATGTTGAAAATTATCTGCAACAAAATGAAGCTAAGGACGTTCGAGGAGAATACGTTGGTTGTTGAAGCGGCACACCCGCTTGAGCGGATGATGATTATTATAGAAGGCTCTCTGCGGATGTACCAGACAACTAGTGATGCTGCTGCTGCACCTCCTCCCCAAACTGTTTTCGAGGAAGGTGATATTGTGGGACATGAACTTGTGTCTTGGGCAGCGTCAATCCGAAATTTTAAAGACCCCCCTACTTCCAACACATATGTCAAATGCCTCTCCAAAGTAACAGCCTTCGTTCTCACAAGTGAGGACTTGAGAAAATTACTCAGCTCCAAACGCATCATGTTCGGGACAAGGGCGGAACCAGAAGTTTTTCAGTGGATGCGCTAGTTAAAATTTTAGCATAAAATCTAATAATTTTTTTTTTTAACAAAAAAAATCTTACCTTTGCAATGTGAATCCCTAAAAATTTATTGCCATCAACCGAATAAGCTTCACAAATGCAAAGTGCAAAATATATAAATAATTCATTTTCATTTATATATTAGTTGTAAACCCAAGAATAATAGAATTGGGTTAACATATTGTTCCGTTCTTGAAAGAGAAGACAAATAAAATTGAGAAAATAATATTTCCCTAATGTTTTGTAGTTAATGGTGAGCCATATAGGCATTTTTTTTCTTATTCAAAAACCTTTTGTCAAAGGAATCAGATAATTTCACCCCAAAAAAAAAAAGATATTTATTCATATTCCCATTCTTAACACTAATAATATAGATAAACCCAACACTATTTAATTTCTATAAATAAACCCGAAAAATGACAGCTGACCCTATTAAATTTAATTTTGATTATTAAATTATTTTGATACCCTATTGAGTGTTTTAGGTTTTTTTAATAAGGTTTTGGGGTTGGACTTGTTTTAAGAAATCAATGACAGTTTTGTAATTTATAAGAAATTAAAAGCCTCTTTATTATGTTGTAAATGAGTTTTGTGTGTATTTCTAAAGTCCATTTCATATAAGTTAATCTCTTAAAAAAAAAAAAAAAGACTGCATATAAAAAAAATAGACACAAGACTTTGCAAAAAAAAAAAAATTAAAAAAGAAGAAGCATATTTTGCGATTAAAAACCAAAAGGCAGCATACTTCCCTAGGCTACAACCCACCACAGCCTTGGCTGTGGTTCCGCCCCCTGCTTCGGAAGGAATTAAAAACTTGAAGTAAAAGGGGGCACTTTTTTTTTTTTTTTTTTTTTTTTTTATATAATACAAATGATAGATTAAACCTAGAGGTGAGGGGATTTCTCTCACCAATCATGGCTGCAACTTATAACCATTTATTTCACATAAATTAAAAGCCTAGTTAGCTTATAAAAAGAAAAGAAAAGAAAAGATTATATTACAAATCAAATAAATGTTTTTATATATTTATCAACATAAGTTCATTACAAGTAGACTAGTTTAATAAACCATATAAACATAAGAAACCCACTCATCGGAAATGGTTAAGAAAAACAACCCCCAAATATGAAGATTCTGACATGTATAGAAATTATGAAAACTAAAATTCCAAAAATAAAAGAGAAATTAAGAAATGGAAACAATGTTGTTGGACTAACCATCCTAAAAGAATTAATCAAACAGTGAGAGAAGTTCGCCTGAGATTTACGTTGTCAGTGATTGGAGATTTACGTAGCTGATAGTCGAAGGTTTACGTCGCTAGTTATCAGAGTTAGGTTGTCAAAAGAAGAGGTCTTTATGAGAGAAGCGTGACCTGAGTTAAAAAGACTTGGGTTAAAAGAGTTGAGAAGAGTTGGAAAAAAATAAAATTCAGGTGTCTTTTTGTAAATAGACCATGTATTTTTATGACACCCTTATAATATGTATGGAAAAAAAAAAAAAAAAAAAAAAAAAAAAAAAACAACCTCATTTCTTCTTGTAATTTAGGTTACCTCTAGTATTCCAAAATAAATAAATATAAGTAAACATAGGATGATCTCTTTGGTCAAGTACTATTTATTATGAGTGCTACTATTTCCACCCACCTAACCTATTTTCCCACCCATCTCATATTCATAATTTTAAAGACAAATTTACCCTTTTTGTAAAATGACTTCTGAGGACTTATGAAAAATAGGGTCTAAAAATAGGTTCTCACTATTTCTGATTCTCGTTTTCACCTCTCTCTCTCTCTCTCTCTCTCTCTCTCTCAAATGGGTTCGGTTCCTCCTAAACTGAGCTTGGATATTTTAGACCCAGTTTTGTGCCTAAAACGAGAAGTCATTTCCTCAAGGAGGTTTTCAATGATCGGTAATGCGTCCGAAAGGTTGTCCAAGCTTGACGATTTTGTTAAGCGATTGGAGGGGAGATGAGGAAGATCGATGCCTTCAAGTGCGAGCTTCCTCTTTGCATGTTTCTCTTGAACGATGGTTGGTTTTTGTTTTTCCATTTCAGTAAAACATTAAAACTCATATTTTTCTTTTTTCTAACCTTTTTTTTGCCTTCTCAATAACCCAAATATATATATAAGAGAATGAGGTTTCTCATACACACATGGATGTACCCACTAGCACGCTAACCTGAGCTAAAGCCTAGGTAACTTTTTTATAATAAAAAAAAAAAGTTAAATTAATACTATAGCCTAGGTCAGAAAACACACAAATAAAAAAAGGAAAAAAAAGGAAAAGAAAAATATTGGTTCTTTGCCGTCAATTAGTGGCTGCAAATGGCAACCAATTTTATCATAATTACTTTCAATTTCAAACAAACCTTCATCCAAATAAGTATTATTAACTATTCCCATTACGACTAGGCTATCCAATAAAATATTATTAACTAATCCCACTAGAACTAGGCTGACCAACAAATAAATAAAAAGAACTAAACCCCACACCTCACGAGAAAAAAGTAAAATATTCTCAAATCAAACTAATATCATTTACTGAATACCTTCAATCAAAACCATCAAAAATCCAAAACCCCATCTCCAAAATCAATTCCCCCCCCCCCAACCTATAGGGTCATTTATGAGTTTATACATGATTTTGGAGACGTTTATGAGTACATACTCAACGTCACGGAAAACTTTCAGATTGCCCCCTCCGTTAGCGAGACCGTCAGAAAATCAGTTAAATATCGACATGTGAAAAGTGGGACCCCTTTTTTTGATGACGTGGACTTTCATGTGGACAAAAAATTAATAATAAATTATTTTAAATTAATTTTAAAAAATCTCTCGTTACCCGTTATGTAAATCATATATCAATGTATCAAGTGCTCTTCTTCATCTCTCTTACCCCTTTGCTTCTATACTTCTACATCAAGCATGTGCCGTTTCTGTTCTTAGAGGAAGACATCAAGTGGATTCGAAGAGAATTGGGACTGCTGAATGTTATTTCAGAGGTTGCAGCAAAAGTTATGCATTTAAGGGATCATACAAGAACAAGACAACAACAAATCTTGGATCCCGAGATTTACTCTGGTCGAGTACATATACAAGGATTGGAACAATTTGCGGAAGCATGGTTGACCAAACTCATATCAGTGGTTCGAAAAGCAAAAGACCTATTTGAAACTTTTGAGAAGCAGAGAAGAGAATCCCACATTATATCTTTTGCTGCGATGACTACAAAGAATTTCATGGAGATAAAAGGGTTGTTCATTGAAACTAAGCGCGTTAAGGATGACATAAACTAAACCATTTCGATGAAGAAGGTGCATGAGATTAACATATGTGAATCGTTGGAGAGATCAAGGTCTACATCGTTGACCTATTTAGTAATGGAACCACTCATTATATGTTACATTTTATTTAGTCAAGTTTTCGATGTGGGACTTATATTCTTCAACATGACCCCTTATTTGGGACCACCACATAATGGGTCACACATGGAGATAAGTCTCTTCCGAGTGATATTAAGAGTGGAACCATTCATTATATGTTGTAATTTGTTTGGTCAAGTTTCTGATGTGAGATTTATTCTTCAACTTTACACAAAAATGAAAAAATTAACTAAGTATTTTTAATTATTTTTTTACAAATTTTTAGAGAAAAATGAAAAATTAATTTAATTCATAATATGTGAAAAAATTAGTCACTTCCTCAAGCGAGCTGGACCTATGTCTAACTTGGGCTCTTGCAGAGACATTTTGGGTACAACACTGTTGATTGATTACTTGCACAATAACCCTATGAGAACCTCGCAAGTGCTTTGTGACATCTATTATTTCGGCTCTCTAGCTACATATAAAAGAAATTTACCATGATCTAAGTTATTAGATGAAAATCTTAAACCCACTTGATCACTTTTACATACACATGATTAACTTATCTATCTACGTTGCCACAAGATATTTCATTTTAATTTTTTGGTAAAAAAATCTATCTGTTTTAATTTAATTTGAACGTTTACTGTTAACACCTCCTCCTCACAAAACTATTACAAAAAAAAGTTTCAATTTTGATATAAATTATTTAAGGATTTATAAGAGTAATTTAACACACTAAGAATCAATTAGAAAATGACAAGTGGCTAATTTTGTGTTTTTCTCTTCAAATAGATTTTACAGGAGTTTTTGTATAATATGTCATGTTAAAATGGGTTTTTGAATGAAAATCTCACTATTTTTCTTTTTGGCTATTTGGTACTTTCTTTCTATTCAACCAAAGGTGATACGCATCTCTCGGTCAGATAATTTATCTCTTTCCCCACATCTCTCATTTTATAATCTTTGTGATTAGTCAACTTTGACCTTATAGTCAATTAGGAGGGAGTAGCCAAAGAGTTATGCCTAATATCTATTATTTTAGTATTTAATATTTGTTCGATTCCATGGATAAGTGTGAATGCCAAGCTGGAATGTTACACTGCTCAAGTGATTCTTTCTTTCTGTCTCTCAGGGACAAACCAAGTTATGATTTCTATGATATCGAGAGGCAAGGCCGTCCAACAAAATGGTCCACAGCAGCAGCTAATGAAATTTTTGCCCCGAAGGGGCGCACCTTTCAACTGTGGAACAATATATTCGTAATTTCATGTGTGGTCGCGGTCTCCTTGGATACTCTCTTTATATTCCAATCATCAATTAAAAAACCAAGTGCCTTGGAATGGACAAAAAGCTGAGGAATGCAGCTCTTGTTTTACGCTCACTTACGGATATCATTTTCGTTGTGCGTATTGTACATCAAATCCGAACCAAGCTTGAGGACTCTGAGGAACCAGCCGAAGGAAGGGAGTCATTAGGATGGAAATGGAGGCCTGTCCCTAACATAAATGACTTGCTCGCCATTCTTCCCATCCCACAGGTTTGTTGAAAATTTGGATCTGCCCGTTGGGTCCCACTCTAACAACACCGATACTGTCCCCACTTTACCACCCGCCCAATCCGTCAGGTGTGAGGTTTTTATCACAAAAGGCCTCGGTATTAGTTAGAGTGTGGTAATTCTATTTAAACCCATTTGTTTTCTTTCACCCCACCG